AGAGAGAGAGAGAGAGAGAGAGAGAGAGAGAGAGAGAGAGAGAGAGAGAGAGAGAGAGTTTCTTGGGAGCAGAGGGAGACGGCAAGAAGGGGAATGTAACGAGCAGGTCCTTAGACTCTTTACTCTTCTGCATCCTCTCTATGGGGGAGGTAAACACAACTCAAGGTTTGATAATACTAAAGAAAAATCAGGTGGTAAAAGGTGAAAGAACAGTACGCCAATTGAGCTGTGCTTAACTGTATCCCTGAAAAAATAAAAGAAAATAAAAAATCAGGTAGTAGTGCCCTGACACCTTAATGGGTTTCCCAACTTCTTGCGACCTTCAAAAAAGTTCAAAAAAAGAGACATCAAGAATGACAAGAAAGAAAAAGTTAGTAAATTATTGCACAGACGAATGCTCAGAGTTTTGCTTTTTTGGATATTCAACAACATGACGCAGTAACGGTGATTGGAAACCGGAGGACCCGCGCTAGCGCCGCTCGGTTAGCGCTCTGCTGCGCTCGCGCCGCGCCGTCTACCGGCCCTGTATGGGCGTCAGCTTGCACCATCACTGGAGTCTGCGCCTTCGCCATAGCCCGACTCACGCCGGACACCACGTGCATGCGCCCAGTGCGCGCACATCTACACGGAAACCGAGCAAGAAGAACATGTGAATGAAACGGCGAGGATTCGGGAAGGCGGACACGCGCCCTCTCCATCGCGAAGATTGACTTCAATAGCATCGACTTGAACCTTCACTGGTATTCGTCCATTCGTCATAGCTCGACCCTCGCCCGACACCAACGTGCGCGCGCCCCGTTGTCGGTGCGAGTACCCTTACAAGGGTATCCGCCCTGGTTTTTGCAAATAACGGGAAATAAGCTAAGTTCAAAGGTTTGCGTATGCTGCGCAAGACGCGGCAATGTCGGAGGGCTACGTCGACTGAACGGTCGGCTCGGTTAGATAGTGTGTGGGCACGCAGGTTTAAGGCGCGCGTGATTTTCCTTTTGTTGATTACGATAGCAGGCGTGGCGCGGTTTCGGTCGGTGCGCCCCTTTATAACAATTGTTTTGTTTTGACTAAGCTGCCTAACCTATGGGCGCTTTTCTCTGGTTCCGCGTGGAACGATGGACGGGTCAGTGAGCCAAGTGCGGCCTTACACGGCATCCAGATGATGGGACCTGATGGATTCGGCCGGGTAAGGGTAGTCGCGGCACGGTCGGTAGGCCGGTGTGGTTTTTTTTTTTTTCATGGCCATATGTGCGAGTACGGGCCAGGAAAAGGCCTAGGGCGGCTCCTTGGCCCCAGAAAAAGCCAGGTGCTACCTCTTTATTTAGAGGGTCAGGCCTGCTGGTACCAGGCTTGGGCTTAAACCTATAGGTTATCACTTTGGACTGGTACGCAGCAGGTGCAGGGATCAAGGCCGACAGCCTGCAGTGAGGGAGCAGAGGAGCGAGGCGAAAAAGGTTTGAGGGGTTGATGGGCCTGCGGGACAATCCCCCTCGCCTTTTCTGTTGCGTGGCCGAGCGTGGGGCTGACAGGCAGGCTAGGAGGGGTGCCTACGGTAGGTACACCCGTGAGCTGTTGAAATACAGACCCGTGTTTGATCCTAGATGGTGGAACTTGATGGGCAAAACCAGCTTTTCTTATTGTCCCGGGCCACTTCGCAAGGCCGCGGGGTGTCGTAGGCCGTGTCCTTCGGGACATCCGTTAAAATTGGAATGATACAGAGAAGATTAGCCCGACGCCCGTACGTGGTTGACGCATATAAGTCGGGAGAGAGCCCGGGCGTCGGGGCTTTGCTGTTTGGACAACTTCGTTTTCCTTCGTTTTCCCATTTTGATGTGGGATCGAGCGCTGCGTAGGGGCTGCGCTAATCGAACTGTCATTGATGACAGTGGGCGGGTCAGCGAAGACGACAAGGACGAAGGAGGACAGGCAAATGAACCCGGAAGGACCCCGGCGGTATGTGCAGTCGGATACAGTGAAGGCGGGGAGCGAACCTGGGCGACGAGTCGCGCCAGGTGCCTGTACACCGAAGAACGGGGATGGAGATGGTGGGCAGATAGGCAAGGCGGAAACGGAGGAGACAGGTAGCAGCGAGCGGGGTGCCGGGCCAAACGAAGGAGCAGGCAGTAGGATCTGCAGGGCGTCGTTGCGAGGACAGAATGAACCTGGGCGCGAAAGTGCGTCGGGTGCAAGCATGACGAGAGAAAGGAATATGGTGGACTGGATAGCTTGTAGCCCGCCCGCTTCTTAGCCGAATCGGGCGGCCGAAGATTTGATTTCGGGGTTTTTTAGGTGGGCGACCCCGATTGGAGTGTTAGTTTCGGGATTAGATCGATAGATTAGGAGATAGAAGAGAAAGGTTGTGCGCAGGGGCTATGGCGGATAGCGGGAGTAGATAGAGTAAGGTGAAGGCACGAATAGCTCACTCGTTTCCTCTACGGAACGGGGTGGGGGAAGGTGTTAGATCAGCGATTTAAGGCCGGGCGACGTCAATAGTGAAGTCAGAATGGAGTATGGAGGAGTGTAGGGTGAAGGGGAAAGAAGATGGTGTGCGGAGTGATGGCGGAGGTATAAGTTAGTAAGAGTAGGAAATCGCTAACACGTTCATTTGTTAAGTTGGGTCGGGGAGAGTGTCATACCGAGGTTTTCAGGGGTGGTGACCCCGAATCCGAAGACGATTTAGTATGAGAATTAGTAGAACGATGAGTTAGTGAGGAAAGTAGTGCGCCGAGATATGTCGGAAAACAAGAAAACGGGGGTGATGGCGGAGTAACTTGGTATAAATCGTCCGATTCTCAACGGAATCGAGTGAACTGAAGTTTTAAACTGAGGTTTTGAGGGATGGGGATCTCGTTTTGGGGGTCGGTTTGGTTAGAAAGTTAGTAAGTTCGGAGTTAGAAGTTAAGGAATGTGGACGGGTTATAGCGCCAGATGCATTCGAAAATTAGAGGAGGAAGGAGACAGCGGGAGGTGTATGCACTTGGCCTACTGCTAGCCTGAAGCCGCACTGAGCGCTGCCTCGATCGTGTCCCCGCCCGCGACCTATAGCAGGTTGAGCGAACCTGGCTGGCACCAACGATCAGGTGCAGCCATACTGAAGTCGGGCACGACGAGGGTTGTCTGTGCATATGCCTACCCTTACCTCAGCGCCAGGCTCACACCGGGTTGCAAGGATAGAGGGTGAGAGAAAGAAGCGTACGTACCTGGCGGACGTGGAAATCCTGTTTCAAGGCGTCCGAGTGTTGAACCCGGTCGGGCTGGTAACCAAATATATTGCTACACAGGGGATAAGGACAGCAAGGAAGGTGACAGGAGGGACTGCACAGGAAGCGAGGGGAAGGGAAGACTTACCAGTCGCTGGGGCTGGCCTCGGGAGAAGGGGGGTTCGTCTGCAGAGTGAAGGAATCGTACCATAGTTACTGTGGCTACAAAAAGTTACGACTTCTGTTGAGCGATGCCCTGCTACACGTTGGGTTGGGCATGACAGCGAAGCGTGGCAGCTACGCCTGGTTCATGTACACGGAGTATTACCCACTGCCGTCGTAGTTTGGCTGTGTTTTGCGGGTGCGGGCGGAACAGCAGCCAGTTAGGCTGCTGCTGTTTTAGTCTGTGCGCCTGTTTATTTTCGGTCCATCCGGCGAAAGCTGCAATTGGTACGGTAACTGTGGACAGCGGGCTACAGATTGTGGACTACGGACCACGATATACCACTGTCGCTGCCTGCCGGGCTATACCGCGATGTACCGCTGGTGTTGTTGACTGTGCATGGATAGCAACTGCTGGCATTTGCTGTCGTTGCTGTTAGCCGCCTTCAGAAGCTACTGTCGCCGATTGGGCTCAGACTGTTGCCACCGCTACCGGCCGCCACCGTGTAGTGCTATTGCCCTCCAGGACTGTTACAAGTGGGTGTGCAGCTGCAACTGGAAAAAAAAAAAAAAAAAAAAAAAGGGGGATTGATGCCGTGGTTTGGGAGCTAGTAAGGGAGGGCTCAGTCGGTGAATGACTCCGGTTTGACCAAGCTGTCACATTGGCTGCCATTGCGGGGCCCTCTCCAGTGAGCTTGAGAGCACCCCTCTTGTATCTGAGAGTCTCAAACTTCCTACTTCTATCCTTCTTACTCTAAGTCTGGTCTTGATCTGAGAGGAAGGCGGCAGGCGGGATTGCAACCCGTAGGACCGCATCAAGACTCTGTGGGGAGTCCACCCACCGATTGCGGGAGCTCTGCCGGAGCCTAGGCGAGGCTCTGGAGGCAGGGAATTGACAGTTAACCTTTGCATTTTCCTTTTATACACCTGAGATATAACCCCTATTTGTACTACCTAATGCATCTCTGACTGAATATATGGTGTGCAACCCTATCTTATTTTTGGTTTGACTTCAGGAGATTGAACCAGACTAAGTAAAGGAATGTTTGTGAAGTCTCAGTTTCAACTTTGTTGTTTGTATGAACTCAGACTGTTAAAAGGAACTGCATCTGGGGGAAAGGCGGGATGGGGGTTTGATTTGTGTGATGATTGGCCGGGTCATTAAGGCTGGGGAGTCCCCATAAGTTTGGGGAACCCCAGCGCTGTGTTTTTGGTTTTGCATGGAGAAATCAGACCCTTCTATAAGTTTCGGGGGTCTGATTACTCTGAAGGCTGGGATGTCCCCATAAGTTTGGGGAGACCCAGTGATATGGTTTGCATGGAGGGTCAGGGTGTTCTGTAAGTTCAGGTGGCTTGACTGCTCTGACCTGATGGGGTTTTGATTGTGCTTGATTTTCAGGGACTCAGGGCGCTCAATAAGTTTTGGTGCCTTGGGTTGCCTTGTTTTCGTTGGGATTTTATTTGTTTCTTTGGTTTCTGAACGAGGAGACCGAGCTGTTCTGTAAGTTCAGGTGGCTCAGTCTCTTCCTGCTCTTTATTCTGAAGAATTAATCTTGGCAAAGAGGCAGACCCTTCTGTAAGTTCAAGGGGTTTGACTCGATGCCACACACATAATGGCTCAGATAGAAACGAATCTGGCAGAGAGTTAAGACCCTTCTGTAAGTTCAGGGGGTCTGGCTCAAAGCCTCGCACATGCTGGAACCCAATGGTTATAACTTGGCTATACTTTATTACTACTCTATCTACGAACGAGCTAATCAGACTGTTCTATAAGTTTAGGTGGTCTGACTATAGTCGTATCACAACTTGAAGAGAGTATAACTAAGAATAAAATTGATGGTAAGCTGGGGCAGGCTGAATTTAAGTTAATTCAGTCATATGCAGCCTTAGAAGACAAAGGTGAAAGATAAGTATATATAATTTGGATACGTTAAACAGTTTAGGGTGACTAGAGTGGTCTAGTCATATGCCCAACGAAGAGAAAAGTAGTTGTGCCCTCTGTTTGTGTATATTTGGCCACGTCAGAACGCTATGTAAGTTTAGGTATTCTAACTCTAGGCATGGCTAAGTTGAGTTGTTCTGTAAGTTCAGGCGGCCTGACCTATGCCTTATGTAAGCTGGGGATAATGGGGTAAATCATTGAGAGATCATGAACTATTGTTTGTTCAGGTTGACTTTGGGATGGTGAGAGTACTTACCTTTGTGGTTTGGCCTGCATGTGACTGAGTGAGGCTACTACTTATTCTGAGTTTCAGTTGATAGGTAGTTGCTTTAGTTGCTCACCACGTGCTAGAGCTATAGGAGTTAGTTTCAATTCCTGCATTTTTTGTATTAACTTTTTTTACTTAGGTCAATTCTCGCATTTTCTGGGATCTTTTCTTGTATTTGGCTTTGTATAAATCTTGGCAGGCTACTTTCTC